ATTATAGTTTAAATTAGTTAAAATGAGTTAAACTTTCAGTGTTTCTGAGCCACTTAAGTAGGACTAAAGTACATGTAAAGTACGTGTGTAAAACGAAATACACTTTAATGTAATTACACATTTGTAATAATGAAGTTGCAATACAGTACATTTAAAAAATATTAACTTTAAATGTAATGTACCACAGTATTTCATATCTGCTTTAGTATGTTAGTCAACACATCAAAATAAGTGTACTTCTAAAAGCACAAGAAAAGACTATTAAACCATAATGATTTAAAATAAATTGATAATACTTTATTACGTTAAAGTATTAATAATGCTTTAAAATAAATTGTTAATTTGACATTATTACAAAGTGCACTTTTTAAAGTCAAGTCATGAAAGTGTCTTACTGTAAGTACACTTAAGTGGTCTTTTATTTCATTAAAATTATACTATCTGAAAGTGCAGTTTATACTTTTTAATGTTTTTTTTTTATATATATATATACAAGAGCAGTTCTATTAAATGTATTTAAAATAGTGTGCTAATTGTTCTGTCCTATAAACGAAAGCATATTAATGTGTGAACTGAACTCATTTTTAATGTTTAAAATACAGCTATGTAATGCAGGATTTTACAAACGAGCTTGTGTCACATGACACTTATCCTTTGGTTAAGACAAAAACTTGTTTAGCATGAAATATGTATTGCTTGCCAGTTTATAAATTGCATCATGCCTGGTTACGACATTGTGTTTCGATACAAAAACAGAGCGTAAGTATCAAGGTTAAGTACAACATCCATTCCTTCATAAGTCTCCAATGCAATGAACATCATTCAGGACTGAATTCATGTTTTGTTCTTAAAAGTTCTCTTAAACGTTCTACAATGCGTTTTCATCCCCCTCTCCAGTCATCCCTCTGAAGACAGAGCTGGCCGTGGAGCTGCTGGAGAAGGGCAGAGTTCGCTTCTGGTTGCAGGCTGAAAAAATCTCTGCCAATGGAAAAGTTGAATATGTGTTCAATGACAATGTGGTCCACCAGGGAGAGGTTAGAGGAACACAGAAACAAACACGCAGCAGATGAAGCATTACACATGCTATTGACTGGAAATAGTCCTTTGGCTTGCTTCTGCATTAACACTTTTTCTGTGTTGCAGAAATACAAGATGAACTTTGATAAAAATACTGGCACCATTGAGATGTTCATGGAGTCTCTGGCCAAAGAGGACGAGGGAACGTTCACTTTCCAGCTTCAAGACGGCAA